GTTCAAAATCCAGGGTATGGCTGGTGCCGAACGTACTTGAAGCATTCAGCTTGTTCCTTAAACGCACCGTTTGTACCGGACCGGTGCCCTCTTCGCGATAGGTGCCGGTAATGGTATAACGTCCCAGCGGAATGTCTACGAGCATACCATAGTCATTGCTAAAAGGTTGTCCTGGTTTTAGTTTCAGCGTACTGCCCGCCGAGCCGTCGATCAGGTTACCCACAGGCACCAGCTGAAATTCCATATTTTCCGGATCACCGATAAAAGTGAGGGGCGCAGCATCCAGTGTTACGGCAGAGCCATAATATCTTGCCTGGGAAGCGGACGCATCACCGGATAGCTTCCAGGTAAAGTTTCTCACCACCGCCTCATTATGCGGGAAGTCGTTGCTGTTATCCGGGTCCAGTTCCATGCGGTAGCTCTTCCCGTTATAATCGCGGGTTATATACGCAGAGGCACTAAAGGTGCCAAACGCCAGCTTGATACTATAACGGCCGTCAGCGCCGCTGGTGCCATTGATCGTACTGCCAGGCAGGTAATGATTATCCATTGTTACCTGGACACCTGAAAGTGGCTGTTGGCGGACATCCCTGACAATGCCTTTGCAATATCCCGTCTCTGCATTAACGCCGCCGGAAGCCGTGGCCTCATTGTCGGACTTGGAGCAACCAGCCAGCAATGGCACGGCAGCGATACACAAAGCAACTAATTGATGGTAGACTGTTTTCATTTTTCGTGTTATTCAATAGTATATGCAAAATTGAGATTGCCGGCGGGAGCGCCATTGTATAAAAGCGGCAATCTTACGGGATCGCTGTTTTTATTATCGGCAGTATTTATTCAACAGAATTTCCTCAACCCCGTTCTTTCTGGCCTTAGCGGCTACCCTGCGGATCAATGGTTCCAGCAGTCGCATCGGGCCTGGCAAGTACATATCGCTCATCACAGACAGTAATGCCAGGTGAACGAATTGTTTGGGGATGGCCTTGCTATTGGTGAGGCCATCGGCAGCAAGCCCGTAAAGTATCCGTAAGGAATTTTCAAAGCCTTCACAGCCCGGGAATGTAACGGTACGAAAACGCACAGGCTCCATTCCGGCATTAAAAAAACGATGGACCACCCCAACAGGTACGGTCATTGTATGGCCCGGTTGCAGGTCCTGTTTTTTACCATTTACTTCCAGCCCGAGTACGCCGTCAATAGCGGTAAAATGCTCCACTATATTCCGGTGAAAGTGTCTGGGCGTACCGCCTCCGGGTTGCAGTGTTACCAACACTTCAGTATAGTCTCCCCCTGTTTCGGCAGCGGTTTTTATAAAAGTGGTGCTGTCGCCGATAACAGGATTCACAATGGTCCGCTTTATAGCCACGCTATTGCCGTTTGTCAGAGGCGTGCAAGCTGTATCAGTTATAGTATAAGCCGCCATCGCTATTGTTTGATGAATTTAAACTGTTGCATATCGTTGCCGCTGTAGCCGCGTACCAGGTAAACGCCCGCGGGAAACGAGGCCGTGTTCACGACTGCTACCTCACCCTTTCTTCCGCTAACGGTCACTAGATTTCGCCCTGCAAGATCTGTTATAACATAGGTCAAGGGGCTGTCTCCAACAAGGGTACGAATGTGTAATGAACTGGTCACGGGATTGTTTACCGTGAAGAAATCATT